CTGGTCCCGCAGGTGAGGAGGAGAAAGGGGTGAGGGAGGCACACGGGGCCACGGCCCAGCGCTCGTGGGACCTGTGCGGTCCTACCTGGCTTCGCTCTCGGTGTTCTCGCTGCCGGGACTTAGCCGCCTTCCGAAAAGCCGCTGCCATCGCTACTCACGCCTGGAAAAGCTCAGGAGACAACGCCAGCTCCGCACCGCCTCAGCCGCCTAGTACCCCGATCCTACCGGAAGTAGGCCAGGGCGCCAGACGCTTAGAACCGCCCACTTCCTCCCCGCAGCCTATCCGACCCGTGCCTTCCCGGAACTACGTCATCTAGCAAAGGCGTCCAGCGCGAGCTGCTTCTGGGAAGTGTAGTTTCCTAGGTCTAGTCTCGTGACCCTGCAAGACTAAGTTCTCATTCGCCAGAGCTTGTGCACGTGTACCCAGATCTCTCGTTTTCGCGCTCCGCTCCGCGTGGTCACCTGGGAACACGTGGCTGGCAGTGCCCCGGGGCTGAGCCGTGCTTGGAGTGTGCGCATGTGCAGTCACCAAACAGCTCTGCTCCACTTGCCCTATTTATACGGTGTGTTTAGAGGCAGGAACCGTGTGAATTTTAACGTGTACAGGAAAGAGCGTTCTAGGGACAGGAGACCTTAAAACCAGGTTTGGCTCTGCCACTTACCAGCAGCTGTGACTTTTGACAGGTCTCTTGACTTTAATGAGCATCATTTTTCTTCGTCCATAAAACAAGGATAATAATAGCGTGCACCGCTCGCTTCACAGGGCCGTCAAGAGACTCACAGTTGAATGAAGGAGTTCTATCCCTTACAGTAGTTGTAAAGTTGGAGTCCCTCACACCCTCTGGGGCATGGCAGCTGGCTGACAGGACGGGTATCAGAGGCAGCACAATGTAATGATTAGGACCATAAACCATACAGGTGTGATCTGATGCTAACAGCCACCAGCCAAGACAAAATTAGCTTCATTTAACCTCTGTCTCCCCATCTGTAAAATGGTGGTAATAATACTATTACCTACAGAATTGTTGCAAGGATGAAATGAAATGGTATGTCTAAGGTGTTTGCTGCTGCGTTCACCTCTTAACAGGTTCACAGTCGGGACGCCTGGGTGGCTCAGGCGGTTAGGCGTCCAACTTCGGCTCAGGTCATGATCTCACGGTTCGTGGGTTCGAGCCCCATGTCTGGCTCTGCCCTGACAGCTCAGAGTCTGGAGCCTGCTTCCGATTCTGTCTCTCTCTCTCTCTCTCTCTCTCTCTCTCTCTCTCTGCCCCTCCCCCCTCTCTGAAAAAAATAAACATTAAAAAAAAAAAAAAACCTCACAGTCAATCGGAGCAATGGATGTTGTTGTTGTTACTACTATTGTTACTAAACCTACCCATAAGGATAGAGAGAGGGTTGGGCACAGCAGAGCTCTTCAGAGGCATTTGGTTTCTTTTCCACTACACGAAGCTAACCCTCAGCGAGTCCTATAATAGCACCCATTTGTCATGACAGAGCTCACTCCTCCAGCTGAGGCACTCTGAGGAAATCCTCTCCTCAGTCCCAGGAAGTGCGAGTCTAGTAGACGGGTGGGTACGACAAAGCTGAAAGTAGCTGAGATCGGCCACGTGACAAGTTTTTCCCTGCCTGTCCGTCCAAGTCTTGCCCAACGCAGGCACATATGTTAACAAAACCTCCACCTCATTTGTGACTTAACCATTGAAACACAAGGTCCTTCATGATTTAGCCCACCTTCCCAGTCTCAGCTCAATTAAGTGGGCCCAAGAATCAGCCCTGGAATTGAATTGCACACCCACAACCTATCAGCTTGAATTTAGGGCCACATCGTCAAATTCTCTGAGCCCCGTGTCCTACTCTATCAAATAGCGATAATAATCTAACCAACTCCTGTGGCTTTTGTGAGAACCCAAGGAGGCAACGACTAGCACTTAGCATGGTGCCCTGCATATAGTCAGTATTTAGCATGTTAGCTCTCCCTCTACCCACTCCCCCCCCCACCCCACACACACATATTCATTTCACCCTCTGCACCCACAGAGCATCACCAGGTTTGGGGGCATGAGAAGACTGTTTCTGGGCAATCTAAAAGACGCTGTCTGCTAAGCCATGAGGTCTGGCAGGGGCTCCAGGCAGCCCAATGGGTAAGAGCAGGCAATACGCCCAGAGAAGGAAGGAAGTTTTCTCACTGGGGGAAGGAGGGCTTGTGATCACAAGCATCAAGGAGTGATTCAGCACCCAGAGGAAACCATGAGAAACCTGTCAGTTGTCAGTTGTCAGGCTGTTGCCTTGTCTTAAAAACACTTCCAAGGTGAAAGATGGCTGGGAGACCCTGAACAACCCCCCTTCCACCACAAGATAAGAAAGGGTGGGTGGGGGCCTCCTTGGTGGGTGAAGAGACAACCAGCTCCCACTCACCCAAGGCTAGTCATACAGCCATCAGGCTCTGCTTCCAGCCTCTGCTCAAATACACCTGTTCCCTACAGGGAGGGTGGGGGGTGGACTGATGGGAAACGGGAACAAGGAGTCCATGTGGCTGATCCCTAGACCTTCCTGGGGCACGTTGTCCTCCTGGACCAACAGAAATGTGAGCCCACTCGGGAGCTAGAAATGGGGAGGGGAAAGGACAAAGCCCCTGCCCTACACCAGCATCCCTCCCCCAGGCTGAGCCAAGTCAGAAATCTAATTTTCTCTGGCTTCCAGATTCCTGGCCCCAGCAGCAGAAACTTAACAACTGACCATGAGAAGGAATATGTTGGGCAGGGCGGGAGTCCCACCTCTTCAATACCTACTGTGTACCTTCCTTGAAGACTCACAAGAATGCTGTGAGACAGGGGAGTCCACTACTCTTCACAGATGAGCAGACTGAGGCTTAATACGGTTGAATGACTTAAGAGGCTGCAGGGCCTGACAGTTAAGCTCTTTTGGCATAAGGAGCTTTGACATTTGACTGGATATGAATCCAGGCTTTGCCATTAGTAGCTGTGTTGCCCTTGGCAAGTTAACTCACTCTCTCTGTACCTCCATCTTCTCATCCTTAAAATGGATATAAGAATACATATTTCATGCGGCACCTGGGTGGCTCAGTCAGCTGAACCCCTGACGTAGGCTCAGTCATGATCTTGCAGTTCGTGAGTTCAGGCCCCATGTCGGGCTCTGTGTTGACAGTTCAAAGCCTGGAGCCTGCTTCAGATTCTGCCTCTCTCGATCTCTCTCTCTCTCTCTCTGTCTCTCTCTCTCTCTCAAAAATAAATATTTAAAAATATATTTAAAAATATATATTGCATACCGTTGTTGGAAAATCAATTACACTAATATATGCAAAGTGCTTAGGCAGAGATCGGTGCAAAGATCTCAGGAATTACTGGCTCTTATAAAGGCTGTTCAGCAGAGATTCAAGCCACGAGTAAATACCAGAGACCCCCAACTCTACCTTTGATCCAACACCTTCCTTAGTCATAACCCCTCCCTCTCTGAAGGCTACTCATCTTTGCTTCCCCTCACCCCAGAGCAGACCCCTTCTTGTCATCTCTCCAACCTGGCAATCTTCCCTGCCCTCCCCAGGGCCAGGAGTCTTCCACATCTTCAAGACAAAACCCAGAGAAAGGGCGCACCCATGGGCTGGCTGTTCACCCTCTGGACTCCAGATAGCAGGTACCTGTGATCCAAACTGGGGTGGAGGAGATTTGAAACTGAAGCAGCATCTGCCATTCCTTCATTCATCAGGTATTAATTATGTGCCAGACCTTGGAGCAGGTACGGGGAATACAGGAGTGAATAAGAAGAAACCTGTCCCTGCCCTCATGCAACTTACAGTCTAGGCATCAGGCACAATAATACACAAACAATTGGTTTAATTTTGGAAGGAAACCTGGCCTCGGGGGTGACTTGGTACCCAGGAAGGCAGGCATATGATTCAGAGATGGGAGAGGAAGGTACTCAGGAGCCCCAGCCTGGGAGGGAATGAGTCTGTGCTCTGAAAGCTTGGCTGGATCCAGCCTGGGGGATGGGAGAGCCTCTGTGGGCATCTCTTACTCTAGAGGCTGAGGTTATTTCTAGGGTTGGTTTGTTGTCTCTTGTTTTCCAAACAGCACAGCAGAACCTCCTCCTCCCTCCCCCATCCTACCAGATCGAGGCTATTTATGCCTAGTGACAAGCCTGAGGATCCCAGGGGGGGTGGCCTCAAGGACCTGGAGGGGCCTTGTGTCCCTGGCAGCCGCCAGTCCTCGCTCCCAGGCACAGGGAGGAAGCCAGAGGATTGGAAACTGTAGAGGTGGGGAGTCCTCCTCCCCACCTCTACAGTTCCCTCCACTTCCCTCCACTTCCCTCCACACTGCCGCCTGCAGTGCCCCATCCCTGCACACTCCTCACACCCCTCCTTGAGAAACCCAAAACGTGGGGCCAAGGACTAGGGTCTCCCCTGGGCCTCAAAGGTCAAAACTATTCCTGGGCCTTGTGGAACCCAAGGCCGAGCTCCTCTGTCCCAGGGTACAGCTGGAGGTGAGGAGGTGGTGACTTCTGTTTTTGCCCCCCAGAGTTGTGAAATCAAGCCCTTTGAAGGTCCAGGCTCTGACCAGGGTTGGGGGTCCTCTCTTCACTCCTTGTTTCCTGAGAACACCTTGGTTCCCGCTAATAAGAGCCATGACAGCAGTCAAAAGCACCCGCTCTTGCGGGCTGAAGTCCTCTTTTACAAACTCGGGCTACGTGTGACCCCTGGGGGTAAGCTGGGGGGGGGGGGGACATGAAGATGGCATGTGGACTCTTGGTCCCCCAGTGGACCTTGTTCGGCTAGGTCCCGTACCCCTCGCCTGAGACCGAGTATAGCCGTCTCCCGCTGGCTGCTGGTGGGAGGCGTGGGGGAGGCTGGGAGTGAGGACAGAGAAAGCAGGGAGGGGACGGGGGCGGGGTCCTGGCGGCCCGGGGAGGTAGGGAGAGCCAGGTTAGACTACGGGCCGAGGGGCCTGGGGCGGATCAGCCCAAAGAGGAGGCGGGAGGGTCTGGCCCTAGCCTGCGGGGTTGGGCGGGGTCCGGCACTCTGTGGCAGGGGCGGCCGGAGGCGGGGTCCGGCGGGCGTCTCTGCGCGCACTTCCTCGGGGAGGGGTTAAATGAGCCCCACCGCCCACGCAGTCCGTGCGTGCTGGCACCTCACCGGCGGCGCGCTCGGCCCCCGCTCGGCTCCGCCCGCAGGTACGAGCCGCCGCCGAGGGGATCGCGCGGCCTGGTTTCCTGCTCCTGCCGCCTGCTGAGGTGAGCCGCCGTGCCCGGTGCCGAATCCTCGCTCTGCTCCCGGCCCCGCCTCCTCGCCCCCGCCCAACCCGGCCGTGATAACCTGGGACGCGCTGGGAGCGGGAGGCGGGGGGCGCTGCCCCGGAGGGCGCCCCGATCGTGGATTTGATCCCGCCGTCTGGCGGGTCAAGGGGCTGCTTGAGACTCTGGCGGGGGGAGGGGCCAAGTTTGAAACGGAGAAGCCAGAGTCGAGTGAGGAATCGAGAGGGTTCTGAGAACCGAGGCTCCCAGAGGCCGGTGGAGCGAGAGCCAGACAGAGACATGAGAAGCTTACAGGGGGAGTGCTCCAGGGATGCCCAAGCAGGACAGAGACTTGGGCGAGAGTCACCGTGAGCCCACTGAGGCTAGGAGGGACCCAGGTTTGTGGAACTGAGCATTGGAAAGAAGCTATGCCAGTGAGTCCCAGTGAATATTAGTAGCTCTTCCCAGGGCCTCAGGACAGCAGGGCCCTTGAAGCCTAAGCTTTAGCCTGGTAGATCAGCCTCTGTGTAGGGCCTATGAGAAGTCCAGAAACTGGGAGACAGAGTCACCAGGAACAGAGATGTTAAGAGAGAGAGAAGGTGGGGTGGGGTGAATCCTCTAGGGAGACCCTCAGAGCTCAAGACTTGGGTGTATGGAGGTAGAAACTTAGAGCTGGGTCCTTTGCAAGATGACTAGCCCACCTTAAAACAAAGACAGCTGAAGTGTGCAGAGACACAGACATGCTGAGTGGGGGTAGCTGGCTCTGGACGGGAGGTGCACTGACAGGCTGGATCAGACCTGGAGAGACTCCAGGCCTGAAAAGACTGGGAAGCAAGGATGGGAGAAACAGAAACTCTGGGCCGCCAGCCCCTGTGGGGCAGAGAGGACCTGAGTGACAGAGATCAAAGGAGCCCCAGGCATACACCAAGACAGCCCCAACTTAGCTTTTAAACTTCAAATCTTTGGACGACTACAGCCCTGGGGACAGGTGAAATGAACTGTCTCTTTCCCCGGCCCCCCAGAGCAGTTGTTGATCCTTCCAGCCCCACCCCCCCCCCCCTTCCCCAAATGCAGCTCCTGACTCCCAGGCCCCATGGGGAGGGGAGCAAGGAGAGTTTGGGGTTGGTGCCCACAGCAGGATGTGGGGTGAGGAGAGTTAGGTTTCTCCCACCTCCCGTCAGTTCCTGGGACTTGGCGTGGGGAGGGGTCTGAAACATCCTGACTCACAGCCATGGGCCTCGCCAGGTCCTCCTGGACAGTAGGGTAGAGGTGGGGCTGGGAGGAGAGCTGAGGGCTGGCATGGGGTAGTTGAAGGGCTTCTGCTGTCTCTCCACCCGCTGGGGTTAGCAGCTGGGAAGAAGAGTCAGGCTCCTGTGCTAGTGATGTCACCAAGTATCTCCTGTGTCCCTGCTCTTAATGTTGACCACCCTCTTTACCACCACTGCAGCATTTTTAGAGAGACAACAGAGGCCTGTGGCTGGTGCCAGGAACCTGACCTCTCTGAGACCTGGAGGACTCTTTGGGCCTGGCTTGCCGGCTCTACTCAGCTGTAAGATGGGGATGGTACCCTAGCCTGCCTGCCTTTTGTGAGATCCAGTGAAATGGTGACTGGGGTTGCACTTTGTGAGAGGCCACACTTGTGCCACACTCAGGTGTGAGGTGGGTCCTGTGAGCTACACTGGGACTGTGGCTGGCCCCACTGACCTCCTCAGCCAGCCCCATAATCTGGGCCTCTTTGCTTCCCCCAGCAGAACTGGAAGTTGGTGGGGGGGGGGGTCCCTCTTTGTTCTCTCCCTGGGTTTACCCTGGGAATGTCCAGATCAAAACCCAGGCCAGCTCCCTGACCCAGGCCTGGCTCAGAAACTTGACTGACCCCAGTGTGAGTGAGGGGGCTAATAATAAAAACACCGATGGCTACCATTTACCGACTATTCACTTTTTGCCAGGTGCTTTCCAAGCACCAACATTTAAGCCTAACGACAACCCCAGGAGTAGGAGGTAGTCTTAGATAAGAAAACAGGCCCAGGAGCTTCAGTGACTTGCCCAAGATCACCCAAATAGTAAGTGAACAACAAGTCAGGATTCAGATCCACGTGCCACATTTGGGCCTCTATCACTACATGCCACAGCCATTCTGAGCTCTGGGAGGTGCCAGACGTGTGTGTCTGGGTCAGGTGTAGGAGTGAAGTGTGTGTGTGTGTGTGTGTGTGTGTGTGTGTGTGTGCATGTGCATATTGGTGGGAGCAGGGGCTGAGAACCATCTGGCAGACTGAGCAGTCTACCCTGTGCTCGAGTGTGCACATGCGCGCACACACACACACACACACACACACACACACACACACTAGCCATGAAGGAAAATAAGATTGGCTCTCTTCCTAAGGGCTAAGCTCCCTTAGCCCTGCCAGGGAAAGTGGGAGGGAGATGGGGAGGAAGGGGGATGGGCAGGGACAGGTGGGCCTTGATAGTGCCCTTCACTGTCCTCATTAAAGCCCAGCTGGACGGACTAGGGAATTCTGGGAAGGAAACAGAAGCCATGCTCATACCCTATTTGGGGTGCCCCTGTCTCAGAGTGGTGACTGCATCCCAGGGGATGGCCCCAGAGCTAGCCTGGGCCCGGGAAGGTGATGGCTGCTGTGGGCCAAGCCAGGAAGGAAGGAAAAGACCCAGGGCACCCCTGGACATACCGTAGCCACACTCCACCTGTGTGGCCCCCTGCTGCCTAGTGGCTGACAGCCCAGACGACACTCAGATGTTGGGCCAGAGGAAACCCAGGCCCGACTGGTAGGGAGCGGACTGAGAAAGAGGGCTACGCTCTACCCTACAGCACAACTCTGCCCCAGGAGTCACCTCTCTGAAGACCCCAGCCCCTGGAGGCCTCATGGCCTGGCCCTGGGTACGAACTTTGTGCCCCCCCCCCCCCCCCC